TGTTCAGTCGCACATTCGAGTCCGACTCTTCGTGACCCCATGGACAAGATCTCGCCAGGCCCTCCTGTTTTCCGCTGTCCTCTGAAGATTGCTCAATTTCATGTTAGTTGCATCTATGACACTGTCCTTTGCCGTCCCCATCTTCTTTGACCTTCAATCTTTCCCAGTATCAGGGTCTTCTCCAGTGAGTGCTCCCTTCTCATTGGGTGGCCAAAGTATTTGCGCTTCAGTTTCATTATCTGGCCTTCCAGGGAACAGTCAGGGTTGATTTCTTTTAGGACTGACTGATTTGATCTCCTGGCAGTCCGAGGGACTCTCAAGAGTCTTCTCCGGCACCATAGTTCAAAAGAATCTATTCTTCGGCGCTCAGCCTTCCTGACTTGGTACTAAAGTCCATGTTACTGTTAAGTAGTTTATCATTGCAGGTGGGAGTCTGTTTTAGGTTAGCAGGCTGTCTGTAAGCACGAAAAGGTCGCCCCCCCCCCCCAAGTACCTGTGTGAGGGAAGTGTCAGCACGATGTGTAAGTCCTGGGTTCAAATCCCTGCTCTGCCATGCAACTCGCTGGATAACTTTTGGTCAATTTAGTCTTAGTCTAACTTTACAAAGTTGTTGCGAAGGCGATGACTTGAGTGTAGCTTGGGCTGCTCTTGACGAACGGGGTTTCTTTCCTGCAAAGTAGGTTGTATTTGAATGCCTGTGGTATGAGGAGGCTAGAGAGAGAGGGATCGAACCACTTACGTGCCAGTGAAATTAGCTCCTCCTAGATCAGGGGTGTCAAATGTAAGGCCTGGGGGCCAGAACTGGCCCATCCAGGGCTCTTATGCAGTCTGCGAGCAATTAGTGCAAGGGAGGGAATAGGAGACTGCTGGGGGGGAGTGGGCGGAGCCACGCCAATTGTGGCTTCCCCATGATGGAACAACCTCATCTGCAGCAGTCAAGCAGCATGGGAGGGTCTGCCCAGTGCTGCACCACTAGCTTTCCAATCCGCCCATGTGGGTTTCCTTTTGTACGCCCCTCCCAGCCCATGGGGCACTGCAGTGAGGAGCTTACCAGCTGCAGCCCTTTATGCAGTTTATATCTCTGGTACTTGGCATTACATTTCATGGCACAGATGGCCTTGGCCCGACCCGACAAAATGACATTTATGTCAGATCTGCCCCTCGTAGCAAATGAGTTCGACACCCCCACCCTAGGTATTTTAGTTACTGCATTTTTAATGGATCCAAGGCCAGCAAATATCCTTTTGTTACCTAAACTTCTTTTCAGGCCATGAGAGTTCAGGCAACCTGTGACATCTTAGACATAAGAAAAGCCATGTTGGATGAGGCCAGTGGCACATAAGAACATAAGCCAATGTTGGATCAGGTCAATGGTCCATCCAGTCCAACCCTCTGCGTCACAGTGGCCAAAAATTAGGTGCCACCAGGAGGTCCACCGGTGGGGCCAGAACTCCAGAAGCCCTCCCACTGTTGCCCCCCAAGCACCGTGAATACAGAGCATCACTACCCCAGACAGAGTGTTCTGTCTATGCCTTGTGGCTGGCTAATAGCCACTCATGGACTTTGGCTCCGGATGTTTATCCAATCCCCTCTTGAAGCTGTCTATGCTTGCAGCCACTACAACTGCCTGTGGCAATGAATTCCATGGGTTAATTAATCTTCTCTAATATGATACAGTCTGCCCTCTCTAGCTCAAATTCTTCCTTTTACTCCTAGTTGGGATTGATTGATATTGCTCAAGACCTCTAGACCAGAGGAGCAGAGAAAAGACAGACAGAAAGGAAGGAGAGAGAGAGAAGATTGGAATTATACCCCGCCCTTCACTACCCAAAGGAGTCTCAAGAGTGCCTTACAATCTCCTTCCCCTTCCCCTCCCTGCAACTGATACCCTATGACGTAGGCGGGGCTGAGAGAGCTCTCCCTTCAACTGCCCTTGGGAGAACAGCTCTGAAAGAACTTGTGACTGACCCAAGGTCACACCAGCAGCTGCATGTGCAGTAGTGGGGAATCAAATCTGGTTCTCCCATATTAGAGTCCACGCTCCTAACCACTATTAAGAAACTGGTTTTGTTTCTCTCAGAGTACAGGACACTGGGAAGCTGGCACAAAGCCTGCCTCCTCCCTGCCTGTAACCTGCTCCTAGAAAACTGTTCTGGTAGCAACGGGGTTGTTCAGCAGTTAAGAGACTTGGGTTCAAATACCCGACCTGGCCATGAGAGTCAAATGGGCGGGGTAGCAGCACAAGCTCAATCCAGCCTACCTTGCAGGGTTGCTGGGTTTCTATGATGATAGAGTACCTCCCATCCAACCCGGGTTATCCAGTTGATTACTCAGGGACTTCTGACATGCTATTGATGGGAAGGGCAACTTCGTAGGATCTCAGAAGCTACGCAGGGCCATCCCTGGTTAGTATTTGGATGGGAGACCATGAAGAGGAGGAGATTGGATTTATACCCCGCCCTTCACTACCCGAAGGTGTCTCAGAGCAGCTTACAATCTCCTTTCCCTTCCCCTCCCCACAGCAGACACCATGTGAGGTAGGTGGGGCTGAGAGAGCTCTTTCCAGAACTGCCCTTAGGAGAACTTGTGACTGGCCCAAGGTCACACCAGCAGCTGCATGTGGAGGAGTATATTACAGTTATATACAAGCAATTAAAGAAGAAAAAACTGTGTAGACAACACTAAGAATTCACCAAAAAGAACAATTTCACTGTACAAAATTACAAATAGATGTAATTGTATTACAGATATCCAGAGGTAAGTCACAGACTGACTTTCAACAGGTGAAGACAATATAATAGAGGTAAAGACAATATACTTTCAGTTCTGTCAGCAGGTAATCTATACATCAAAGCCTTTAATAAATACTATACAAGTGTATATATCTTCCAGCAGAGCAGGGATGAAGTCTTCACCTGTGGAAAGTCAGTCTATGACTTACCTGTTGGATACCTGTATTACAATTATATGTATTTGTAATTTTGTACAGTGAAATTGTTCTTTTTGGTGAATTCTTAGCGTTGTCTACAGTTCTTTTTCTTCAGTTGAATGTCCAGAGTTACACAGCACAGGCAGGCAAGAACCAACCACCTCTGAACGTTGCCTTGGAAACCCCCCAGGGGTCTCCGTACATCGGCTGTGACCTGGTAGCGCTTTCCACCACCACAACTTCACGGACTCTAGAGCCAGTTTGGTGTAGTGGTTAAGTCCGCGGACTCTAATCTGGGAGAACCGGGTTTGATTCCCCGCTCCTCCACTCGCAGCTGCTGGATGCCCTTGGGCAAGCCATAGTTCTGTCAGAGCTGTTCTTGAAAAAAGAGCAGTTGCTGTCAGAGCTCTCTCAGCCCCACCTGCCTCACAGGGTGTCTGTTGTGGGGAGCGGAAGGGAAAGGAGTTTGTCAGCCGCTCTGAGACTCCTCTGGGTAGTGAAGGGCGAGGTATAAATCCAATCTCTTCTTCTTCTTCTACCTCACAGGGCATCTGTTGTGGGGAGGGGAAGGGAAAGGAGTTTGTAAGCCGCTCCTAGACTCCCTTGGGTAGTGAAGGGCGGGGTATAAATCCAATCTCCTCCTCCTCTTCTTCTTCTTCTACCTCACAGGGCATCTGTTGTGGGGAGGGGAAGGGAAAGGAGTTTGTAAGCCGCTCCTAGACTCCCTTGGGTAGTGAAGGGCGGGGTATAAATCCAATCTCCTCCTTTTACCTCACAGGGTGTCTGTTGTGGGGAGGGGGAGGGAAAGGAGTTTGTAAGCCGCTCTGAGACTCCTTCGGGTAGTGAAGGGCGGGGTATAAATCCAATCTCCTCCTCCTCCTAGTTTGCATTCTGGCAGCCATTTTTAGAGAATGGACACTTTCCCCCCTGCACACATGAAAGATGGGCAGCCGTGTTAAGAGTGAGGCAGGAGAAAAGAGCAAGAGTCCCGGAGCCCCTTCAAGACTAACAGAATTTGTGGCAGGGGAGGGGCTTTCGTAATGAGTCACCGCTCCCCGCTTCACGCAAGATCCTCCCCTGCCACAAATGTGGCTAGCCTTGAAGGGGCTCCTGGACTCTTGCTCTTCGCTACTGCTGCAGACAGACTAACACAGCGACCCGTCTTGATCTGTCTCCTTGGAAGGCACCACGTTTAGCCGTGCAGAACTGAAATCTGTCAGCCTTGTGAAGAAACTTGCACAGGTACAAACAGGCATCACCTTTCTCACCAAATGCAGTAGACAACCAGTTTGGTGTAGTGATTAGGAGCGCGGACTCTAATCTGGGAGAACCGGGTTTGATTCCCCGCTCTTCTACGTTTGCCGCTGCCAGTGTGGACCTTGGGTCAGTCACAAGTTCTCTCAGAGCTGTTCTCTCAAGGGCAGTTCTCTCAGTCCCACCAACCTCACAGGGTGTCTGTTGTGGGGTGGGGAAGGGAACGGAGTTTGTAAATTGCTCTGAGAGTCCTTCGGGTAGTGAAGGGCAGGGTATAAATCCAATCTCTTCTTCTTCTTCTTCTCTTCTTAAGATGGGTCAAGGTAACCGAGATCCCAAAGGGATGATCATAGGAAGCCGGAGCAGACGTCGAATCTGTAGCGATAGTGACGGAAGGCAGCCCAAGCTGACATTTCAAAGTCTCGGCACCACCACCTCAGAAGTCTTGTGGGGACACACAAGCTCCCTACGCTGGCACAGAGGCCTGGGTGCGAGGTGCTTTACCGTCCCAACCATAGCATCCGTGTCACCAGCAAATCACATTTAGAAGGAAGCTCTGTGGGGTAGAGGATCGTCTTCACTTGGGGCATCGGATGCCCAGTTTCCCACTGTAAAACCCCCATTGCAGCAGAGAAGGGGCAGAAACAAGCAAGTCCCGGAGAAGAAGAGCAGCCCCCGGCATTAGTTCATGTCGTAGTTTATTTCTCACAAAGACTGTACAAAACTCCGTATAAAATTCTGGCGCTGGAATGGGCTGTTATCCAAAAATAATTCCTTGGGGGGGGGGGGTTATCCCACCAGAGGACGGGGGGTGGGGGGGACAGGACGCAAAGACTAGGGGGTCTGTACAGCAGAATCGGGGGCAGGGGGGGTGAGACCGAGAGATTCCCATTTACAGGACTTGGGGAGGGGGGAAGACAGGAACCCCGCAGGATCCGCTGGGTGTTATATATACAGACTATCTCACATATTAACAAGCTTTACATGATGATTACAGAAGGGGCAAAGTCACGGCAGGAACTCCTCTGTATTAACTTTCATTTCTTTTAAAAGAGCACCAAAAATGCACGATTGTTAAGTCGCAGGGGCCTCCACAGGGGCCAAACGTCCGGGGAAACGAGGAGACGGAAGAGGCCCGAGGGCCGCGTCCAGGCCGGTCACCGGCTGATGTCCCGACTGGCGTCCCAGGCCTTGGGGACCGGCTGGAGCTTGAGGGGGTCGAAGAACGGGTGCTTCAGGGCCTCGGCCAACGTGAGCCGCTTGGCCGGCTCGTATTCCAACAGGCCCTCGATGAGGTCGAAGAGCTGGTGGTGCTCCTCCGTCTCGGACGCCAGGTACCTCTGCGGAGACAAGGAGGGGCAGAAGAGTGGAGACGCCGGACTAAGATCCCCCCCCCCCCGAACTCCCCCCCCCATCTTAGAATCAAGGAGTTGGAGGGGATCTCCCCCTGGGTCACCGAGACCCACCCCCTGCACAATGCAGGAAATCCCCCAAATACCTCCTCCCCACACACCCTCAGTGACCCCTGCTCCATGCCCAGAAAAATGACAAAAAACCTCCAGGATCCCCAGCCAAACTGGCCTGGAGAAAAATGGCTTCCTCACCCCTAAAGTGGCGATCGGCATTTCCCTGGGCATGTAGGCTGACCCTGCACTGAGCAGGGGGGTGGGACTAGATGGCCTGTAGGGCCCCTTCTGACTCTGTGATTCTGTGATTCTTGGGGTTGATCTGAACTGAATTCCACTCTTCCCATGACCAGCCTCCGCCCTGCCCTGGATAGCCCAAGATTAGCCCAATCCTGTCAGACCTCAGGAGCTAAGCAGGGCCAGCCCTCGTGAGTATTTGAATGGGACCAAGAAGGTCCGGGGTCACTGTTCGGAAGCAAGCGATGGCAAACCACCTCTGAACGTCTCTTGCACTGAAAGGTCCTACCGGGGTCACCGTAAGTCAGCTTCAGTTTGGTGGCACTCTCCTTCACCACCGTGGCCGGCCTTCTAGGGCTCCCCGGCCAGCCGCCAAATCACCCCCCACCCAGAACCTCGAATCCGTCCAGAGGTTCTCCTCTCACCCAGCAGATGGCCCTCTTTGCAGCTTACCCGAAGGGGCTTACAGTTTTCCCGCACGTAGCGCCCAGCGGAGGTGTTTTCGTCCCAGTCTAGCCGGCCGTGGTAGAAGTATTTCTGCTTCCTGTTGGGAACCGGACACAACCAGGGAGAACAGGGGTGAGAACCACAAAGCGGCTAAGTGTTTCCCTACCAAACGCACGTAAACACGCACACGCCGGGGTGGGGGGGGGGGTGAGTGGGCCCTACATTCTCACAACAGCCTGAACGCGTCCATTTCCTAACCAGTTATCCACAAGGGTGAATATTTGCGAGCCCTGACCTGGAGAGCCCAGGCTAGACCGATCCTCTCAGATCTTGGAAGCGAAGCAGGGCCGACCCTGGAAAGCACTTGGAAGGGAGACCTCCTTGGAGTACCAGAGGCGGGAGGCGGGGGCAGGCTTTATTCAGCCACACCTCTGAATATCCTCCAGGCCCCTCAGTAACGGGTCAGTCACCAGGGGTTGTCATGACTTCTGGGTGCACGCGCACACACACACACACAAACATTTTTTTGGAGGGGGGAAATACCCGCCCCAAGGTTGAATATTTGTGCATCTGCTGTGTAAAAGGAGGCCAAAACCTATTTTTGACCAGGAAAGGGAGACAAGCAGGCACGCACCCATGAAGCTTCCACTGAAATCAGACCCTCTCGGTCTGTCAAGGTCAGTCTTGTCGATTCAGACGGGCAAACGGCTCTGCAGGGTCACAGGCAGGGGTCTTTCCTGTCGCCCGCTGCTTGGTCCCTTTCAACTGGGGATGCCGGGGACTGAACTTGGCACCTTTTGCGTGCAAAGCAAGAGCTCTACCACTGAGGCACGGCCCCTCGCCAAAACACAAAACTGCCCTATACTGAATCAGACCCTTGGACCGGCAAGCTAAGGATTGTCTATTCAGACGGGCAGTGGCTCTCCAGGGTCCCAGGCAGAGGTCTTTCCCATCACCTACTGCCTGGTCCTTTTAGCTGGAGATGCTGGGGATTGAACCTGGGACCTCCTGCATGCCAAGCAGAGGCTCTACCACTGAGCTAAGGCCCCTCTCCAGGGTCTCCAGAGGAAGTCTACCACATCACCTACTGCCTGGTCCTTTTAGCTGGAGATGCCGGGGGATTGAACCTGGGACCTTCTGCGTGCAAAGCAGAGGCTCTTCCCCCCTCTGACCCCCCACTGATACCGCTGCCAAAGGTGAGCCAGTTTGGTGTCCTGGTTAGCGATGCTCCCTCTAATTCCCCCGCCCCCCATACTGAGCGGAGCAGTTCATAGTCTAAGCAGAATATAACTGCTGTAATCTTAAAATGACGTCAAAATATAACGGGGAAATTCCCAGTACAGGCTAGATAAGACCATAAAAACCCAGGGCTGTTTGGAAACAAGATACACATTCTTCCACTGAGCGGTGGCCCGGCCCCAAGTGCTTCGAGTATCCCCCAGCAATCCCAAATCGCTCACACCCAAATCCCCCCCCAGAGTCCCCTTCACCTGGTCTTCCGGGTCATGCGGGATGGGATCGGTCCTAAGATCCGCTCCATCATGGCCAGGTGCTCGCGGTTGTCGTGGGTCTGAAAGACAGGCGGACGGGACATCTCTTTTTGTGGAGGAGAAACAAGAGAAATCCTCCCCCTCTGAGCCCCCCAACTGATGCCGCCGTCCAGAGGTCATTTCGGGGGGGATCGCGGGGGATCGCAGTTCCCCCGGGTGAGGTGTGGGGGGTGGGGCACACGACGAAGCCCCGCCCCCTGCTTCCGGCCGCCCCGCTTCCGGCCCTCATTCAGCCAAGAGGAGGCAGGAGGGAGGGTAAGTTGCTTCCTCCCCGCCTCTCCTCACCCCTGCCTGCCTGGGGCCAGGGAGGGCCTTGGCGGGGCTTCCTCGCACTCCCGCTGG